ATAATGAAAGGGAGAGAAAGATAAATAGTAAGAAAGAGAGTCAGACAGACCAATAAAACAAAGAGAAAGTCACATAGACAGACAGACAAAAAGAGTGTATCAGAGAAAGAGAAAGGCAGAAGAAGCCGAAAAAGAAAGGAACAGAGAGAAACTGACAGACCGACAAAAAGAGTGAACGAGAGAGCGTGAGAAACAGTAAGATATAGAAAGAGACAAACGGACCCAATAAAAGAGAGTAAGAGTGAGAGAGTCAATAAGAAAGGGAGAAACAGACAGACACAAAAAGAGAGTTTGGGAGGGAGAGAGAGAGGCAGACAGAGCAACCAACATGACGCTTGAGAGACAGAAGAGGGAGAGAGAGTGACAGAGAGATACATAAACATAGATATACAGAGAGGGAGTGAGAGTGTGAGAAAGGGAAGGAGAGAGAGAGAGACAGTAAGGGACAGATTGACAGATTGACAGATAGAATGAGAAACTGAGAGCACGATAGTTAAGTAAAAGAGAGAGACAGACAAAAGGAAAAAATGAGAGTGAGAAAAAGAGAAGTGTTACAGAGAAACGGAAAGACAGTATTTAATTTTTTTGGTCAAAAAATAGTGTCGTACAAATATCCAACAAGATTTTTTTTGTTCAAATTTTGACAATGAAGTAAACCTAGATTATCTTCAGTCCAAAAATGAACTTTTACAGAGTTTTCGCAGTATTTCATTAAGCTTAAAATGAAATGTTATTAAATTATGGGCTAGCCCTGTCTATTTTTGACAAGGCGTCGAATCATGAATATATCATTGCAAGAAATTGTTTAAATTCTCCCCTTAAAAAAAAACCACCGGCTTGCGAAATTTTCCACGATCCACGTTTAGAAAATCAATCGGCCGTTGAAACGTGGAACGAAAAGCCAATAAATTTTCGACACTGGAACCGTTGAAACTGCACTTGTAATGGTCCAAAATATGGGGAGATAGAGAGAAAATAAAATCCGCTCTGTTTTTCATTCCGGGGACAGTCAGTCATAAACTATTAAAATCTTAATGAGCGATTTCTTAATCCCAATCTTACGCCAGTCCATTAAAAACTATTTTCGTTTTTTTTATACCCATTACCACGGGCTGTGGCTGTTTGCTCGTCCGCAACTGGGGCACCTTTGGCAACTTTTTCAACAACCGTCTGCTCCATTGGAGTATGGCAACACTAGGCCATTGGAACGTTTACAAGCTGGCACAAATTAGACTGATTAGTCTTTAGAAAAAAAACTTTTTTGTCAACAATTTTGAACCATCTGGGAGACAACACTCGCAGGTAATAACATCCATATATATTTTTGAAATATTGTTTCTATAAAGAAAATTTAGCTAATTAAGAAAATTTAGCTAATTAACATGATATAAAAGGTAATAAAAAAACTCCAATATATGACGTATTAATTCAGATCGTCACTCTTCAGCCTACCTTTTCTTGTTAATTCGTTAATTCTTGATTAATCTTCCTTTTTACTTTCAAATTGTTCCAGATTTACGTTAAAATTTGTTACGTTAGGCATCTTTTTGTGTAATGTTTTAAGCTTTTAAGGTTAAACTTTTTCCTAGCAAAATCTATTGTAATAACAAAACAACAAAACAACAAAATAACAACACTCGTGACACTGACTTTTTTATCTCAACTTAAAAACCTTAATTAATTGAATATTATTAATTGGTCAAGCGGACCCCGAAAAATAGTGAATTTAATTGATTAAAATGAAGTACACTTCACTAAAGCTCTCCGTGGCCATCTCATTGTCGCGGAGAATCCAATCCGATTACACGACATTTGAAAAATGGCAAACAGGAGGGAAAATTCAAAAGGTGGGGTTGAAATGGGAAGTTAGTGCCCGAGGGGATGGAAGTCAAGATANCTCTCTCTCTCTCTCTCTCTCTCTCTCTCTCTCTCTCTGTCTCTGTTCCTTCAGAATTTCCCTTTCTCTGATACTCTCTTTTTGCTGTTCTGTTTGTCTCTCTGTTACATAGAACATAACTCTCTCTCTCCCCCTCTCTCATACTATTTTTTGGGGTCTTTCAATCTCTCTATGTTTCTTCAGTTTCCTTCTTTCTCTCATACTTTTTGTCCGTCTCTCTCTCTCTCTCTCTCTCTCTCTCTCCCTATCTATCTATCTATCTATACATGTGTCTCTATCTCCCTACCTACCTCTGGCTATTTCAACGTCTTCTGCACTTGAGTGTAGTTTATTTAATAATTTTAACAGGTTCGATAAAATTTGTTATTACATTTTTTACTAAACATAACACACATAACTACATAACTATTTTTCGTGGTCCGCTTGACCAATTAATAACATTCAATTAATTAAGGTTTTTAGTTGAGATAAAAAAGTCAGTGTCACGAGCGGGATTCGAACCCACGACCTTGCTGACCTTACGTTGCATGATAGCTCAGGTGATAGAGGAAAGAGAGAGAGTTAGTGAGAAACCGAGGAACTGATTCATTGACAAAAAGAGAGTGAGAGAGAGAGAGTCAGTCAATTAAGCAGCAGAGATCAGAGAGACAGACAAATAGCGAGTAATTATATAAAACGCATACGACGCATCCTAGATCTTAGTTCTATTAACAACTGTACAACTTTTATTTTAATTCACTTCGGGACAGTTTTAATTTGACGTCAACTCGTCTGATTTGACAGATAACTTCCCAAGAAATGTTAATTTGCCTCGACAATAACAATGGAGAGAGAGGCCGTCCGCTTTTGTCCTTTCGAGATGATGTCGGAAAGCACTTGCCAAGGACTATCTTTGTCACCGTCCTGTGTCTAATGCCGACATTTGTTGCTCTCCAAGTGATCACAAGCTTTGAAACAATTTGACGTTATTGTTGGGCGATTTTGGGTTAAGGGTAACTTCGTGCCGAAACTTGACAAAGCTATCCTTTCAGTTGTTCTTTATCCGGTGATTCATTTTCTTTTTTTAATTATATTTTCTGATCGACAAACTATTCTAATTCTTATTTTTAAAAAAAGGCCAAATTATAAATCAATCAGACAATTCTTTTAAGATTTTAGGCAAGTCAATTCATTAGTTTTCGTCCACTTGACCAATTAATATTTCTCAATTATTTAAGGTTTTTAGTTGAGATAAAAAAGTCAGTGTCACGAGCGGGATTCGAACCCACGACCTTCGACTACTCTATCACCTGAGCTATCGTGCAACGTAAGGTCAGCAAGGTCGTGGGTCATCTTCTCCACTCTATTCTTGTTTTTAATGTTGTACATATTTTCTTGCTCATTGTTACATGTAACCTACTTGAAAGTAGTTGTAATGTACCACAAATTAAAAAAAAAATTAACACGAAAATTTCATTTTGTTTTGTGAACTTTTCATCAAATAAATTGATCAAATTGAATATTCTGCTGCCGAATAAATACTTGCATGTAAGTACGCAAATTTCACTCATTTTTATTATGAGATATGGTTGTGTATAAAAATTATAATGTTTAACTACCGACCTCATAGAACAAAAGAAAATGGAAAAAAAATTAAAAAATTAATATTTTCAAAAAATCCAAGAGCCATCAATTTTGAAAGTATTCCATAGTTGAGAAATAAAATTGAGTTTCAGAAAACAATTNCACTAACTCTCTCTCTTTCCTCTATCACCTGAGCTATCATGCAACGTAAGGTCAGCAAGGTCGTGGGTTCGAATCCCGCTCGTGACACTGACTTTTTTAATCTCAACTAAAAACCTTAATTAATTGAAAATTTTAGGCAAGGTTGAAAATCGTTGTAGTAATACCAATAGGTATCTTCTCCACTCTACTCTTGTTTTTAATGTTGTATATATTTCCTTGCTCATTGTTACATGTAACCTACTTGAAAGTAGTTGTAATGTACCACAAATTTAAAAAAAAAATTAACCCGAAAATTTAATTTTGTTTTGTGAACCTTTCATCAAATAAATTGATCAAATTGAATACTCTGCTGCCGAATACATACGCAAATTTCACACATTTTTATTATGAGATATGGTTGTGTATAAAAATTGTTACGTTTAACTACCGACCTCACAGGACAAAAGAAAATGGAAACTTGCATTTAATAAATATTTTTAAAAAAATTAAAAAATTAATATTTTCAAAAAATCCAAGAGCCATCAATTTTGAAAGTATTCCATAGTTGAGAAATAAACTTGAGTTTCAGAAAACAATTAAAAATTTGGGATTCCATTTTGAAATAAACAAATGACGACGATACATCGAAAGAAAAATTGACGTCAGTTTTGGAATCTACGCAAAAACAAAGGTGGTTACTATTTGTCACTTTTTTGCATCTGTTCAAAAAATAGGGAAACCCTGCTGATGCGTGTTAAAAAAGACACCCGGCATAGAAAATATTTTGCTTTTTGGGATTGTAAGGGCAAGTCGATGTGGGTGAGAGGAGAGGTTATTGGAGATGGTTGGATTATTTTTTGTACGAAAGGGGTTTTGAGGTCATTGTTGGAGACGTAGTAAGAAGCATTGACTATGATTCTGAAGGATTGGAATGTCTGTACCCTTTGGATGATGGAAGGTTTAACGGTGCTCCACCGTTCCAGTCCATACATCCAAATTGAATTTGGCATTTTCTTGTATATTTTCCATTTGTGTTTTATTGAAACTTACTGTTTGCGTGACGGTAGTCTGTAGAGTAGTCCGAAGTTTGTTCACTGCTTGTCATTTTAGTCGTGTATGTTCGTACGAGGTTAGTCTTGAGTCCAGATGGAACCGAAGGTAGTGGACGCAGTCAATTTTTAGGAGAAGGGTTTTGCTTCGAAGGATGAATTTTGGAAGCTTTTGCTTTCACTAAGCTTTATACGCCAAGGTCTGCTCCATTTACTTAGTACAATATTTGTAGTTGTAAATAAAAAGTAAATGTAATAAAAAATCTCACAATAATATTAATTTTAAATACTTCGTAATTTAATTATATTTAAATATTATAATTAAATAGTAATAAAGTAAGTGTTATTACCTTCATCTACCGGCACTCTTGTAATTGATGCAGAGCCTTTAGCAATTATTCCATCTGTAATAGCAAAAATACAAATTTAGAATATAATTTAGAATAAAATTATTAAACTAACGAAATTTTTTTTTAACATCCTACATGTATTTGTAAAATTTAAGGCATGTTTATAAATCCCAGGCCCTGAAGATGATCTCAATAACGATCGAAACGTTGGCACGATAAAGAAAAAAGTTTTTCTAAAACCTACGTCACACCACACCGCATGTCACGATCTTAATCATTAAAAAATAAAGTGTAATACGTTTTATTGGAATATCAAGGTTTATTAATAATTAAATTGTTTTACAAAGCTGGTAAAATTTCAGCCCAGGTTTGTTAGGGATCAAGTGACGGTTAGCGTTGTTTCATTAAAAATTAAAGGCAATAAAAGAAAAAACTGAAAGTCACTCGTTAGGACTCTGTGCGTGCTTACATAAAGTCCTCCCAACAACGAGTATCACTGATTTGGGTCGAGATAAAAGGTCCCAGGCTGTGATATACTCGGACGGATCGTGAGCCGTTCCTCTTCCTTGTTAAACCTATTTTAAAACTTTCTCGCGCTATTTCGGGCTCTTTTTTGATACGATTTAAAACGGATAAACAAGAGGCACAAAATGAAGCGGCCTAACTCAAATAGGCCGAAACAAAATTAAAACCACGCGGCGTTTCCTGCTCGTTCTATAATCAATCAGGGCAAAATTGAATTTGCCGATTGTAATCGAAACTTTGTAATTGCCGGGTGCGGTTGTCTCACAACTCTTCTTTTTTTCTTTCTTTTAGAAATGTTTGGATTCTTTGGAGAAATCCTTTCACTTCCGAAAAAATATGGTGTTCGCTTTCTCGCCCGATCAGACTGTGCGGTCGATCTCCTAAAAGGTGGAAGCTGTTTACTTCTCATTAACAAACACGTGTTTATGTTTATAAAAGTCAAATTTTTATTAAATGATTACATTAATTTATTGCAATATCATTGTTGCACATTAGCCTCAAAACAAAAAACGAATCGAAAATTCAGATTCAAAATTATTAATAATTACAATCAATTCACAACATATTTAAAATATATCGTGGTAAATATGTTTTGGCTGTTCGACAATTTTATCAGCTAACTTAGGTTATTCATTGTTTTTGCGAGTTCTCGTTAATTAATGAACATTTTTAATGCTAAATTTAAGTAAAAAGACAGAGGTACTAGATTATATGTGCCTTGATATTGATTTTTTGATAAAGTAGTATTTATCCTGCCTTGATCATCGTCTTTCACATCCTTCCTTTATCTATCTAATTTTATATTCCTTTCTGATAAAGCTTCCTAAGCAGTTAACACTTCGTGGAAGCCAAAGCCTAACCACAAAATAGTTTACGAAATAGCACACTTTCTATAACTAACACCAAAAGGAATTAATCCAAAGGTGCCCCTATGGTTTACGCTTGTTAGACCCACTATAACCTACGGATCAGTGGTTTGGTGTACGAATACATTACAGGTCACAATTCTTAGTACTACCCAGAGACTAGCTGCATTACTGGAGCAATGAGAACCCACTGCTGTCATATAATCTCCTAGGAGATTCCTATCCTCCTTAATCTATAATTACTATATCCATCCAGGGAGAAGGTAGAGGCATAATTCACAGACGAATGCAGGGACATATGGTTCCCAAATACTCGGTCGTCCTGAAAAGGACAATGAGAATCTTTAACGTCCGTACCTAGCCATACCGGACGTTTTGATTCTCAAGATGAGAGGTGACGCACCTCCCCTCGCTCCCGGACGTGTGTTACAGCCGCGAGCTATGGTGTAGAAGCCCGAGGGGCAAAGTTGGATCTCGCTCTCCGCTTGCCCATTCCGAGTGGTCGGGTCCGCATTAAGCATCGAACCGTATGCCGCGCGTAAAGGGCTTCCCAAGGTGGCCGAAATGCATCAGCTTGGTCTCCTGCAATGGGGCTCCTCCAGCGTAAGGACTTCCGGATCCACTCCGTCCGCGGTTTNCATTACTGGAGCAATGAGAACCCACTGCTGTCATATAATCTCCTAGGAGATTCCTATTCTCCTTACTCTATAATTACTATATCCATCCAGGGAGAAGGTAGAGACATAATTCACAAACGAATGCAGGGACATAAGGTTCCCAAATACTCGGTCGTCCTGAAAAGGACAATGAGGATCTTTAACGTCCGTACCTAGCCATACCGGACGTTTTGATTCTCAAGATGAGAGATGACGCACCTCCCCTCGCTCCCGGACGTGTGTTACAGCCGCGAGCTTTGGTGTAGAAGCCCGAGGGGAAAGTTGGATCTCGCTCTCCGCTTGCCCATTCCGAGTGGTCGGGTCCGCATTAAGCATCGAACCGTAAAGGGCTTCCCAAGGTGGCCGAAATGCATCAGCTTGGTCTCCCACGCACTCCCAGAGTATGGGGCTCCTCCAGCGTAAGGACTTCCGGATCCACTCCGTCCGCGGTTTTGTTTAAAGTGGAATTGCTAACCACCCCCTAGAGGAGACTGCTTTCGGTAAAGGACGCCGTTCGTGAAGGCACCACGAATGCAGGGACAGGCTTGATTTGCCAAGTAAGGCAACAAAGGAATAAGTAAAGCTTTGGAATTAACAAACGGATAAGGTTTTGGGAATGCTTGTCAACGCCATGATTCAAAATCAGATTTGTTAAGAAATTTCAAATTAAAATAACCGATAAAGCAGACTAAGAGAAATGGATTTCACCTAATACCGATTATGTTTCGTATATTGGGAAATTTGCCACTTTATTTCAGGCGTAGACTGTGGATATTGAACACTGCCAAGGAGATCAAAAGGCTATTACTAACAAAAGATGAGCCATACAGGACCGGACAGCACTAAAGGCTGTTAGCAACAGGGCACGTGGGCAACGAGGCCAATTGGCCAAAATAAAGTCCACCCAGATCATAGCCCGGGACCCTTTTGCTGCATACCAAATCGCCAAACTATCCTTCTGTCAATGGGTTAAGAACCTCGGTTCAATGGGAACGTATTCCACGACAGAGGTATGCGAAAAAGTTAATTAAAGAAACACTGTAGTACCTAGAATGCCTTAGGCTAGAACGATAGTAGGGCTACTGACTAGACTGCAAACTCCGGAGGCATATCTGTAGACTCGCAGTAGTAGAACCAGGCGAGCAGGCTAGTGCAGATATTGCCAGAAAGAATAGAATGGATTTCACAAAGCTTGGAGAAATGGGAAAAAGCCTTAAGCTTAATCAAGAGATCTAGAAAATGATATTGGTCGTGGTGCGCCAGGTTTTAGCCTGAATTCTACTAACATAAACCTAACCGTGTGAGATTATGATGAATTGTTAAATTTATGGAGTGATAGGTGAAAAAACGAAACCCTACTTTAAAAGGAAAACGAAAATTCTGATTTTTAAATTTACGGTTTTAGGTCATGAAATGTTTGGTTTATTATGCTTATCGTACCATCGCTAGTTGCATCTACATCTTTTATTCTATCAGCATTGGCATAATGCTCAATTATTCGACCAAGACTAAGATTCATTATTAAAGTTTTGATTTTATTCATCTGGGATAATATACTTTTATCTTTCTTGTTATACCGTGTACATTGCCCTATATTTGTTCTTTCTTTTTTCCATTCTACTGTTTTCGATGATGCTTTTAACGACTTCGTTACAAAAGAACTATCATGAATATAAAGTTAATTTTTTAATGTTATTTTACCTAGTTGGAATTTGAAAATAAACTCTGCCATAAAATCCCAAATGTTTACAGTTTCCATAAATGTATGTGTGTGGTATTCGTGTGCTTATGCGTGCGTCAATAATCTCTATCAACATGTTCGAAGACAAAAAGTATGATGCCTAGCCAGAAATGTTATTTAGAGTGGAGTAGTGTAGATTTAAAATAATTTTTCAAACTACGTAATTTTATAGTATTTTATTGTTCTCAACTATTTTAACTAGCTAAAAGTAATATAAAATAGAAGATACGACTTATGATAAAGGCGATGTCCAGTAATCACGCCAAACAAAATTTCGATGATTTTTGTAAACGATGATGATGATGATGATGATTCTTATCAGACTATTAAAATTTTAGCATTTTTCGTATAGACTTATTTATAATCTTGCATGTGGAAAAAAAAGGAAATACTACAACCCAGAACAGCGTGTGGACAAAGTGTGGTGAGGATAACAAAAAGGAAATGAAACCCGGGTGCGTTTAACGACCTATTGATAACAGTGTTTGCGGCTTGCGGTTATAAATAAGGTTTAATGATTTACTATTACAGTCAAATATTCTAGTTTGTCCTCGGTGCCGAGACCGTTCTTTCTAACTGTCAAACCTATATTAGCCGATTGTCAAATCGCCTGTTACAAAACTGTCTGTTTCAATCATCCCGGAAAGCCTACAACAGAAGGTTTTGAAAATTGCTAAACTTTTGTTTAAACCATACTGAACTATAATCTTGCATAATTCTGGATGACCGATTAAAAACGTGAAGCTCTGTTTTCGCCTCCAAAGAAAAAAAGTGGCGCCCCACATTCACTGTACTTTCCCTCGGTGAACCCGAAGTCAACCCGAAAGTCCCTGGAGGAACGAGAGGACGAATCTTTTGAAAACAGAACCCTCGTCCATCAAGAATTTCAGATATTCATTATCAAAATTACCGTTCAAAAAAATAACCATAAGTGCTTGGTTGTCTCTGCTGTCTGTCTGTCTCTTTCTCTCCCTCACTCTTTCTCTCTCTCACTCTCTTTCTTTCTCTTTCTCTTCTGTCTCTCAATTTCTCTCCTTTCTTATCTCTTTCGAACTCTATTCCTATTGTGTCTTTCTCTCTCTTTCTATTTCTCTTTCTCTTCTGTCTCTTAATTACTCTTCTTTCTTATATCTTTCGATCTCTATTCCTGTTCTGACTGTCTCTCTCTTTCTTTCTTTCTCTTTCTCTTCTGTCTCTCATTTTCTCTCCTTTCTTATCTCTTTCGATCTCTATTCCTGTTCTGCCTGTCTGTCTGTCTCTTTCACT